TTTTTGTTTTACGCAAAATGATTGATAAATCCACCTAAATGAGGGTTAGTATCTCAAAATTACAAAATTATATCGTTTGTCGTAGAAATTCAAAGGAATTTTGTGATTTTTAGGGCTTTTTGGAATGGGGTGAAATCGCGTGCAGAAACCGGAAGTGATCCTGAAAAAATGGATTTCGGCGCGGTTCTCCTAAAATATTTATCCGATCGAAGAAAAACTTACACAACAGTTTTAGTTCACTAAGGCCTATATTCAGACAAAATTTGAGCGATTTCGATTTTTCGCATTCTGCACCCCTCAGGTGACATTTACGGACTACCCCTCTTAATATAGGAAGTTGTAGAATCATGAAGGCATTTGAACGTCAAGAGAGTGATGTTATATTTGATGTGATCCTCAATTTGAAAGCCAGTGTAAATGAAGATGAATTAGTTCAGTTGTGAGGTTTAGCCCCACCCTTCAAGTGGTTTAGCCCCATCTCCAAGTGGTTTAGCCCCACCCTTCAAGTGGTTTAGCCCCATCTTCAAGTGACTTAGCCCCACCCTTCAAGTGGTTTAGCCCCACCCTCAAGTGGTTTAGCCCCATCTTCAAATGTGAAAAAAGTTGTTAAAACATACAAATGGGGCTATGCCTATATGCATTAAAGAATTAGAGTGCAGAGTATCAAGTGATATATTTATTTGTGATTGTGCATTTCATAAGTCATTACTTATATAGCATTTGGTGGGCTAAACCACTTGAAGATGGGGCTAAACCACTGTTAAATGGATATAACAGAGATAAAAGAACAAATAAGAATATAATATAGAGGAGTGTCAACATCTAAAATTTGATAAAGTGCAAGTAATATACCCATGAAACAAGGCTAACTAATAGGCCTTTTGCAACRACAGGTCATGTGACCCTACCCCCCATTAAAAGAGACATCGTGGCAAAATGAACACCTGATATCGAAAGAGCACCTCAGTATTAGTAAGAAGGGAAAGTTTCAGCTTATAACATGTAACACAGGAAAAATGGCATTAAATACAATATCGAATATTTAATAAGGATTTGTATGGGAAAATGTGCTGGATGGCAAAGCTTACTATCCAGCACATTTCCCTATACAACTATGTCTCTTTTTATGGGGGTAGGGTCACGTGACCTGTTGTTACAAAAGRCCTATTATTACTAAATTCTGAAGTACTATTCTTACTTGGAATATCATGCCTGGGCAAATCTGTGTCATCATTTTCAATGCCATTCAAAACTGCTATCATGGTTGAATATTTAATGACGTGATACCCTGAGTAAAACTGGAGAATAAAGAAAAAATTATCAGCTTTTCATTTCTTGACCATCAACCTGTAATTGACTCTTGCCCATAGTATACATATGTGAGAGGCATGGGTGGCATAGCTGTGACAGTGAGGGATTTTCAGGTTCTCCAGCATTCCTCCTCCCTCTGAAAACAAAATCTTATATACATTAAATTCCAATTCAATGTGTGAGTTAGCCAGTGCCCTAACTTTGATCAGCCCAGAGGTTGTTTCAGGGTTT